CATGTAGGCCCTCATGTTAGCGCGCGATTTCAATTAGACATTTCTTAGTAATTAGCAGTGATATTGGACAAACTAATACGCGTTTGGCTATAAGGTAATGTACTTATTAACTACACAAGGTGCCAGTTACTGTAGCATTCGTCAACTTTGCATAATCGATGGAAATATTATGCCTTTAAGGGCCTGTGATGATAGACAGAAATATGAGCATCACTTTGATTTGCTTTCTGTATTTCTGTATGATCTGATTTTTAGATTTAGATTTTTAAATTTATTTACGCTTTCAAGTATATTACATTGTTACATTATACATAATTTACATATATATCACAACAAGTTTTTTAAATAAATACAGCGAGGGAGGGCGAATTACTGTACTTCTCAGTTACTATAGATACTGTATACATAGCCAGTGTTTAGATACGATAGCACAAGAAGTTCTTTTGTTCAACCACAAAACAGCTGAGGCTAAAAAAATCAGTCTCAGTCTGTCTACAGCCCTCACCTTTAACTTTGAGTAAAGACTGCATGTATTTCCAGACATAGTGAACTTCTTGTTCCTCTGTTTAGACGCACGTGAATTTGAAAGATGCGGCTGCATCGATATCGGCTGGAGACAACTTCTAGCCGCCTATTCGTCATTGAATAAAAAAATACCGAATACGTTACGTTTAACGATCGGTCACTTTTTGGTTTAGGCCTACCGTTTTAGTATTTACAAATAACATGTTTTATTCTTTTAGAAGTTACATCATTATAAATAATTGTTTGATAGTTTGAATGTTTACAGATAATGCCATTGGCATTGGACGGTGGCGCTCAGCGACAAGAGCGGTAGTTGCCAATAGACTGGTATTCGCTCCATCCTCTCGGCTTGGTTACTCGCTGGGCCAGCCAGCGTTGGTCGCCCAGCGATTAACTAAGCCGAGAGGTGGGAGCGAGGACCAGTCTATGGTTGCCAAAAGCTAGCGTCACACTCCGCATTCCGAGTCCGCTACCGTCGAACTGGTTTATTCCACGTTATTCGCACTTTATAATTATATTTCACGCGAGATGGCGCCAAAGAGTCATTTCTGAGCACAGAATTTTCTAATACCATTGGATGGTGGTGGCCCTAGTGGAAAGAGCGGGTACTTGCATTCTCTAATTTTATTGGATGGTGGCGCCCCCAATGCAAAGACTTCGCATGCGTCAAGGGCGGGTCATGGCGGTCAAAGGCAGGGTGGTATGTTTATTACATAAATCTATGCTGAGATACCCCCTAACCATATTAAATGCATATTTATCACAAAATATAACCCCGCTGGCGAGATATTGCGCATGCGCTAAGCGCCGCTAACACACTAACACAACACGCTAACACAGCATACAGGATTTAAAAGACGCTTTAATGAACCAAGACTCATTCGAACTCTGCCACCAGAAGGCAGCAACGCTATAATTGACACACGCACTTCGTACCTCGGATAAGCATTGCAATATATGCATACTCTGCAATTTTTGATCGGCAAATATTTCTATTCAGCACTTCGGTGACGTGTGGCCCTTCGATCCACAGCAATTGCTAAACTGTGCAAGGATATATTGAACACAGCCAAACCTGTGCAAGCAGGCACTCTTTTAGAACGGACACCTGATTATATAAAGGGCACTTTTAGTGTTTCCCTTGTGGCAACTATAAAATGAAACCACCTCTATAAAACGGCCACCTGTCTATAGAGGACATGTAGCATTGCCCTTTACGTGGCAGCTATACAGTGAAACTACCTCTATGGAACAGACGTCTATCGATCACGCAACCAATCAATCAATTAATCAATCGATCAATGGACCAGACGTCTATCGATCACGCAATCAATCAATCAATTAATCAATCGATCAATGGAACAGACGTCTATCGATCACGCAATCAATCAATCAATTAATCAATCGATCAATGGACCAGATGTCTATCGATCAAGGCCAGTTTTTGGGTTTCCCTTGAGTGACCCTCGTATACAGGATTTGCTGTAGCTATACACACTATATAATGACCGTGAGTGTAGTCAGGTCGAAAATAAGTCGATATGTCACGGCGAAACACTGCGAAAAGTTCCGCGTTCGCCAAGGCCGAGAGGAAAGCTTCGAGCGACCTCGCGACCTCCACTGCCTCTAACTCTTCCTCTCCGCACCGCATTTACTAACAAAAATAGTCGTTTTCCAACCTGCAATACTTCACGGTTATCACTCGCGGCTCCTGCTAAATAGTTTTATACAAAATGTACATTGGGAGTTTTACACGCGTTCGAGAGTCGCTCACTGTTGAGCGTCCTCTGTCGCGTGCTCGATATTAACATAATGTACAGCGCGCACTCATGCAGCACATGCTAATTCAGTCACGCTATTTTACAATACAATGATGTTGCTAACTGAGTATATATATATGCTCCTCTTTCTCTGGCACTCATGCGCACACGCACATGCTCTCTCCTCTCTTTCTCTCGCTCTATCTCTTTCTCCCCCTCTCTTCAAATTTCCTTTGGCAGAAAAACACCACAGTACAAACGTGTTGTTTTTTTCAGGCACGACAAAATACTAACTCAGCTAATACAAAGAAGCTTACGCTCACAAAACTATCTCCATAGAAAACCTGAGCTAGTTATTTTGACTATACCGTCACACACCCACATATGCACGGCACGCACATCACCGAACGCGCGCGCCCGGCGCGCTTATTTCTTCTACTTACATAAGCACACTCTCGTTTCCCTTCACTCACTCTTACACACGCACGCACACACCCACACATTATAAACACGCCAATTTATAATAACACAATTTTATTATTACTTATATACGTTTTTGTTTTGTCGTGTATATGTACAAAAATTTAGGCAGGAATACTTCCAGCTTTAGCCTGCAGAATTGTATTCCATTAACACCTGCAATTTCAAAAGCAGTGCAGAGTGTGAGGAAGGAATCTCTAGTTTCTTGTTCCGCATGCTAAGAACGCTGGCATAAGCAGCATGCGCAGCCCCTATACAAGTCTATACTAGCTTGGCAAAGCATCCAGTCAGTACCACCAAACTAAAAACGTTAGAACGAGTTTTTAGAAAGCATGAGCAATTTCGTCCCATCATTCTCTAATCTCTAACGATGGAAATGAAAACAAAAGGAAAGAAACGATGCGGCAACACGAACACTTCGGTAAAAAATCGCTCGAGCAATTGTTTTCTACCCGGCTCCGCGTTTTTGACGATCTTTAGTCATGATATCTAGCCACGGTCATCCTCTTGCTATCATCGCCTTGCCCGCGGTTGCCATGGCTACGCAACACGGTCCACACCATAATTTACCCTTCCCTCTTAGTCACACATCGTGGTTGTTCAATCTCACAACCAACACTGACGGTCGCATCGTCGTCGTCGTCACCATCAATACTGTCACCATCGTTGTCACGGTAACATATCGTCATCGTCGTCCTCCGTATCACTATCGCTCTCGTCACAATTGTCACAATTGTCAACATCGTGACAATCGCTGTCGCCGTCAACACTGTCATCGTCATCGCACCCATCGGTCATCGTCGCCATGCCAACCCAACGGCACTCCCGGCCTCGCTGAGATTCTCCTCCTCCGCTCGTCGCCGCGGGGACGGTTGCCACGGCGACGCCCGCGACCTCGCTAGAACGTGATCAGGTCGATGAGGTTTCCCTTTGGCTGCGCCATGTCGTCGGGGAAGAAGTTGACGAGGATGTCGAACAGCTGAGAGCGGCTGTGGAAGTGTGGTTCCACCTCGGCGTCTGCGCACACGGACAAAAAAAAGTGTCGTCGTTAACGAGTCGAAGAATCGGCAGAATTCGTCGCCTTCGCTGCGTCGAACAACAGGCAGAGATGCCAACACATATTTGAAGCAATCTGTAGTTTCTGGCCATCAAATTAGTAGTTAGAGGGGTCCGGGAAGCCCCCCGGTAAAATTGTTTGATTCTGAGATGCAATTTCCTGCATTCTGAGGGTCAAAAATGACAATAAATTGACAATAATTGACAAAAAAAAAAAAATTCCGATCACAGTGAAATTCGTTGTTTGATACAAACTGGTCATAGTGGTGAAAAAGGAATAGAAATTCGTATAAAATACGGATAAATCGTAGTGGTTGGCATCTCTGGACAGGCTAGCCCTCCAGGACATCAATTTCACGCACGAAAACGCCTCCCGATTGACGTAAAGCACACAACAAACATACGCGAAACGCCTATAGCATGTATAGCTGACCAACTTAACGATGTCGCGCAATACCGCATCTGCGCGAAAAAAACCACATCATCGTTAACAAGTCGAATAATTGCGAGAATTCAATGCTTTCGCGGCATCAAACGATTGGGCTAAGTATATATATATAAAGATAAATTATAAATTATAAATATATATCCCTGTATTGTCGGGATATCGATAATGCTCCCTGAATTACGTAAAACGCTCTGACCAGCTTAATGGCGTTGAGCAATATGATGGTTGCATATATACACGAGCTAGTGCAGGGCAGGGGTAAGATACAACCCGGGCGGTGAGGCCTGGTGCAGGGCAGGGGTAAGATACAACCCGGGCGGTGAGGCCTGGTGCGCTCTCCCCACTGTTACTCTCACCTGCGATGGAGAAGTCCTCGTCATCGCTCTGGCTCGTGAACAACGTCGCGGCAAGCTGCTGGAACTAGAATGCAGGAAAATGGGGGAGACAGACTGTAAGACAACGTCCATACCACCGCAGGAACAACCAACGTCTGCACGGACGCAGGACAATGGGAACATGAAAATAGGTTAACGAACACACGCGACTAAGCCAAATAGCGCGCTGCTATCGGACGATTAAAATGCACAAAACTTTGTACTAATTTTTCCATAATTAGATTGCAATCATTTTAATTTTAATTATGGTTAATTTTTAAATAATACTTTGATAAACAGATTTTTAAAAAATAAAAAAATAAAAATATATATATATACATTCATAATAAACATGTATTTAATAAGTGTGTTGTCGCTGATCGTTTTGCCCAGCGCTATGTCGTCAAACAGACAACGCAACTGTGCGTAGCGTCACCGTCGAGCCAGTGGCGACCCAGGTGGCGCGGGCGTGGCCGCCGAGCGACATTACTCACCCCTAGCGTCTCGTCCTCGTCGTGGTGGTCGACCAACTCGGCGAGTTCCGTCTGCAGGTACCTGTTAAGGGAAAAAAATTAATTTATTTTTCGGGGGTTACTTTTCCAGCTCGCGTGGATGAGAATAGCACTCTAAAATTTGGTTTGCATTGAACTCT